GTGTGTGTGTGTGTGCGTGTGTGTGAGTGTGTGTGTGTGTGTGTGTGTGTGTGTGTGAGTGTGAGAGGTCACATGGTGTCACAATTTGCTTGCAAATTTCCATGGGAATGACAAAGCAGAGAGACACAGAGAGAGAGAGACAAAGACAGAGACAGAGCCTCTTGCTCACTGAGAACCGACTGTGGGAAACTGCAGACAGACATCATAAAACATACGGCCGCAGTCCTGAAGCTGATTGTTAGTGAGAGTTTTATAAAAACAAGGTCATGTGATATTATAGTGAATATAGTTCATCTTTTCTCCTGTACATTAGTGGAACAGTTCACCTAAAACTGTAAATCTGCTCACCCTCAGGTCATCCCAGATCAGGATGAGTTTGTTTCTTCATCAGATTTGGAGAAATGCAGCATTGCATCAGTGTCTCAGCAATGGATGCTCTGCAGTGAATGGGTGCCGTCAGAATGAGAGTCCAAACAGCTGATAAAAACATCACAATAATCCACAAGTAATCCACAGCACTCCAGTCCATCAGTTAACATCTGGAGAAGACAAAAGTGGATTATTGTGATGTTTTTATCAGCTGTTTGGACTCTCATTCTGACGGCACCCATTCACTGCAGAGCATCCATTGCTGAGACAGTGATGCAATGCTGCATTTCTACAAACCTGATGAAGAAACAAACTTTGTCTGTGTTGTTGTACATATTCCGTGACCCTCATTCAGACGGGTGATCCTCAGAGAGACTAGTCACAGGACTTCACCAGCTCTGGATTAACTAGGCCGGATGGTTTGTGTTAGCACAGCATTGGTGAAGGTTCAGACGTGTGTGTTTGGTCTAGCGGCGCAGGTGGCCCTTGAAGAATCAGTCTGAACATGTGTGTGTGTGTGTTTGTGTAACGCCGTTCAAACACACCAAGGGCGGAAAATGCGGTAAACAATGCAAACTATGCTTTAATGAGAGAGGCAGAGACTGACGGTTGAACTCATTCTGAAAAATACAAACTGAATGGTCGTTTAGGAGGATTCAGATGCTGCCTGAACGCTTGAGAACGTCATTCTGCACCGACACAAACCAATGGAAATAATAAAGGGAAGGTTGGGCATCAATCATGATATACAAACGAAATTTAAAACACCAGTGACAAGGTGACCACTGGATGAAAACACATGCAAAAGTTCTCACAGATTTGTCCC